GAACCACAACTCCTTGGTTCACAGGCCAGCGCTCAGTCCGCTGAGCTACACTAGCCAGGGCTAGACTCTTTTAAGTGTTCATTTCTAAAACAAGCTTTTGCTTGGTAGCATAACTTAAGGTTTTTGGTTGAATGTTTTCATGAGGATTTTCAATAGATTTGTGAATTTAGTGTAGCTTTGTCTAAAATTCATTGTGTTTGAAGAGTTGTCTTGAGCCATGTTGGAAGTGAGAAGTGTCGACCTTCAATGAAGAGACTAGGTGTGCCTTTTTTGGTTTTTATCTTGTTTGGTGACCTCGGAGTTTCCTGGGTCTGTGGTTTGGTGTCTATCATTAATTTTGGGAAACTCTCTGTTATCATTCCTTTGCTTATTTACTGTTTTTATTTTCATTCTCCTCCATTATGTGTATGTTACACCTTTTGTAATTGTCCCAAAGTTCTTGGGTTTCTTCTGCATCTTTTTTGTTCTTTTCATTTCTGTGCATTTCATTTTGGAAGGTTGTTATTCGCATTTCCCCAAGCTCACTGATTCCTTCCTCACACATTTCCTCTGTATGGATGAGCTGCCACTGCCCCACCTTAAGGAATTCTTCATTTGCGTTCTGTTGTTTTAATGTTTTTCTTTCTTTCTTTCTTTTTATATTTTATTATTTATTATTTATGTTTAGAGATGGGAAGGGAGGAAGAAAGAGAAAGAGAAAACATCCATGTGTGAGGGAAACACAGGTTGCCTTTTGCACACCCCCGTCTTGGGGCCTGGCCCACAACACAGGCATGTGCCCTCACCAGGAATTAAACTGGTGACCTTCCAGTTTGCCACACGACAGCCAACCCACTGAGCCACACCAATCAGGGCTTAATGTTGTTCTTTTTTGCTTGCGTTTCCCATTATGTTATTTCTTAGGATTTCCATCTCTGCTTACATTACCTATCTGTTCTCACATGTCCACTACTTCCATTAGAGTGCTTAGCGCATTAATCATAGTTGCTTTACATTTCTGGCCTCATAATTCCAACATATCCACTACATCTGAATTACATTCTTTTGCTGGTTCTGTCTGCTCACACTGTGTGTTCTAATTCTTAGCATGCCTTTTACTCTTTTGTTGAATGCAAGACATGATGTGCTGTGAAAAAGAAACTGAGGTAAACAGGCCTTTAGTGCAAGGTTTTATGATTATCTGACTGGGGTTCAGGCTGTGTTTACTATTTGCTGTATCAGAGGCTAAAAGGGCCTCAGGTGTCCTTGATTTTGTGTCTACGTCATCTTTAGGGTCCTACAGAGGCTTCTTAAATAAATTCTGAAACTACTGTGCTTCCAGTGTATTCACAGGTGTTAAACAGGAGTGTTGTCTCTATAGCACTGTGTTGTGGGTAGAGGGGAAGAGTTCCGTAGTCCTATGACATGGTCTCTGTATTTTAATGAGCCTGTGCCCTGGGCTGTGACCTTCTGTGGTATAATGAGAAAGATGTTGTATCTTTGTCCATGGCTCCTATCGAAGACCTTCCTAAAGCCCTTGGACTATCAGAGTGAAGAGGGTGATTGGAGCATCTCATGTTCTAATGAGGTGACTGTTCACTGGCCCTTCGGTGGCTCCAAGGTGGGTTATTCCCTGCTGTCAGTGAGTTTATTAGCCATGCCTAGGTAAGGAAACCCCATCTAAACCCCTAAACCTTAGGATGCAGAGAGAGATCTGACTGGTGGACACGTCAGTGTCCTGGGAGGGTGCCATGCCTGGGCAGCACGTGAAGCTCCTCCTCTCGCCACCCACCTGCGTTGCCTGAGCACCCTTTCCATTTGGCTGATCCTGACTGTTGTTTTGCATTAATCTTGTGTTCGTTCTGATAGTAGTTTTAGCAAATTAACAAACGTGAGGGTGTGCCCTGGGAACCTCCACATTTGTAGTGGACTCTGGTGGCATGTGTATGGCCTGAGCCCCCACTTGCAGCTGGCCCCTGACATGTGGGCAGTCTGATGTGGAGTCTGATGCCAACTCTGATTAACGGTAGGATTGCATTGCAGGCCACGCAGTTGGTGGCGGGAAGGTGGAGAAACAGTTTGGAAATTACACCACATATTTGCTGTCAGGAGGAAAAACTATCCTGGGACACTAACCAGTGTTCCTGAGACTGCGCCCCCAGCCTCAAGTTAAGCCAGGCAGCGTGGCTCGGGGGCATAGCTTGGCGGTTTCCGTCCCCGTGTCAGTTTGACGCTGGTAAAACCCGGTCAGTCAGGCTCTGGTGAAACGGAACCTTGGAGGCTGGGCCTTGTTAAGAAGAGCAGAATATTGAGGGCACATTTCAGCGTGGCTGTTGCCCTGTCTCTCCAAGTTTGGAGATCGCGGTTTGCCCTGTGACCTCAATTCTTTGATAGCTCTCGGAAGAGTCATTGATTGCCAGCCTGCTTGCTTTTTTCTGGTGAGGATGGGGATGCCACTTAAGCTCCTGACAGCAGTGCCCATGAGAGGCCAGAGGCCTCTGACTCCACATTTTAACGTTTGGCTGCCAGGACGCTGGGAAACCCAGTATCCTTCCTGAGTCGAGAGAACCCACTTCTTCCCGCCTATGTGTGTCCCCCTCACTTTTATGCAGAACACTTCAGTTCTGACATTTCTGGTCACCAAATGTGTAAGGTTTTTTTTTCTCCCACAACTAGCTGTGACACCAGCTGGTGTCCTACAACTTAATCATAACACTGTCTTCCTGGAGATAGTGTCATATCCTACAGTTTAAGGTCTCAGTCCCAGGAGACTGCTCCTCCCACCCCTCACCTCAGATGCCAGTCACAAGTAGTGGGTCTGCAGGTTATCCCAACTTCTCTCTGACTTGGCTACAAATCAGAGGTTCCGGTAACCCACTCCGTGGGTTTGGTTAATTTCCTAGAGTGCTCACAGAGCTCAGGGAAACACTTGTCGACCAATTTATTAAAGGATACAGATGAATAGATAGATAAAGAGATATTTAGGGCAAGGTCTGGGAGGGTCCCTGTGAATATGGATGCATTACCTTCTGGATAAAAGGAGGTTTTCACCAACCTGGAAACTCTCTGAACCTCGTACTATTGGGAATCAACAATCTTCCTCACAGTTGATTATTAACTCCATTTTCAACCCCTCTCCCATCTCTGGAGGATGGAGGCAGGGAGCTAAAATTTCCGAGCTCCCAATCATGGCTTGGCCTTTCTGGCAACAGCCCCCATCCAGGAGCCATCAAGAGCCCATCCAGAGCCTCCTCATTAGAACAAAAGATGCTCCTAGTGCTCTTATCTCAGGAAAATACCCACATTTTCTGTGCACATTACACATGGGATTACTATACCCATGGTATGTAATCATTATACCCATATATAGTGTGCATCCTTATTTTTCCCTCAAAAATTTGGACAAAAAAACTGCACATTATACATGGCAAAATATGGTACAAGGGTTTTATGAACTCCCTGCCAGGAATCAAGGTCAGAGACCAATATACAGGCAGACCTCCACTTTGTTGCACTTCACTTAACATTGCATGTTTTTAACAAGACCCTCAACCAGTAAAAAGATTCCAACTCACTCTGTTGCAATATGCACTTATTGTTGTGGCCTGAAACTAAACGACAGTATTTAGGAAGTACATATTTTCTGTTATCTGACAGCTGACAACTTGAAAGCCTTAATTAACCCTCCTCCTAACCCCTTGTGCCCCATGTCTGTACAATGTGATTATTTAAAAAGCCTGGCTGCTCACTCCTTCGGTGCTGTCAGGAGATCCAGTCCATGAAAGCCCCTCGGTGTGTCTGTGTGTGAATTCTTGCCCCAGCCCACTCCTAACCTCAGTGAAAAAAACCCCGCCAGGCTCCTCTCCGTGCTCCCTCAAGCCCTTTCCCACCTGCGTGAGAGGCCTGCCCTGTGCCCCCTAGAGACCTCAGCTAAGAAAGTCATAAACCCTTTCATGCATCCCTAGTAGGTGTGTGCTGGTTGGGGTGGGGTCGGGGGCCCTCCTTTCTCTGCAGGTTATAGGAAACAACACGGGCAGGGGGGATAGCAGTGCACTTTGCTTAGTGCTATTGATAAACACTCCAGATCTTTTCATGTCAATACCCTTTGTTTGTAAAAAGTGCATGTGATGATGAATTTATGTAAGCCGTTCTTTCTAAATAGACACTTGGCTGGTTAGCAATTTTTGCTGCCGAAACCATGAATGAAAATTCATATTGCCACATTTCCAAACATATACAAATCGTGTTCTTTTCTAGCCTTAATTACTTAATTTTATCATGAAATAGATCCCTAAAAGATTGTAGAAACTGAATTATGGTAACACTTAGTAATAACAGGATAAACACCCTTGAAATCATCACAAGGCAAGGCAGTGGTGAGGGTCTCCTGATGTTCCCATCCCTGACTCATCTCTGTCCTGCCCCACACATGACCACTGCCCTTATTCTTTCTATATTTGCCATCTATTATTTTTCACTAAGCAGTGTTTTCAGTTTTGTCTCCTTTGATCTTTCATCAGATGGGTATTTATGGAGTTCCTTGAAAAGGCTTTCTGGTGGTTACGTTGCCTCCTCTGTTTCACACATGCTGGCATCTGAGGCTGGGGACCTGGTCTAGGACTATGGGGTTCAAACCTCCCACTAGAGCTAAGTGCCCCCAGACCACAGGATTCTTTCAAGTACCAGGTGAGTGGGGGTGGGGGAGGGAAGGGCGGGCGTCTCCCCGTTGGAAATGGTCAAATAGCAAAATGGAGCCAGACTCATCATTACGTATGGAGAGGTCACTTTTAAGTGTCTCGTTGTGAAGAAGGGCCACAGTTCCACGTGTGGCTTGACTGCCTCATGGTTAAAGCACAGACTCCAACCCACTGCTAAGACAAGGTCACTCAAAGACGCGACCTCCGGCCTGCTGTCACTCAGGCAGGAGGGGGCGGGATCTTGGGGACTGTCCAATCAGAGGAGTCGCCGATAACGTACGTAAGGGCGGCGCTCTTATGACGGAGTGGACTGCGTGTTGATCACTTCTCTCTCCATCCGCACTTTGATCCACACTTGGAGCCTTTCTCTCTATCTTTAGAGGCCTCAGGTATCTCCGCCACATCCTTGTTGCCGTGACCTGCCCTTGCCGCAGGAGTCAGGGTGGACGACAAGTTAAGAAATGGTGAGTGTGTGGGCCAGTTGTTGGAAGACAGGGAGGAAGGGTTGGTGGAACCAGCGTGGCTGGACCTGGCCTCCCGGCGGACACTGCCGCGTTTGGGGACGCGAGTCCGCCAGGGATGCGGCACGCAGCCTGGGAGCTTGGCCGACAGCCGGAACCCCCACGTGTTCCCTCCGCCCTAAGAATGTTCGCTGACCACTGGGAGGGTCATCAGAAGGCAATCGTGACTCGCTCTCCGGGGTTCCTAGTGGGAAGAACTGTGGTCTGTGGGGTCCTCAGCCTCTCCTTTCTCCCCAGGGGGACCTGTTTTCTCCTGAATTTTGCAAATGCTTAGGTAGCGGGGCCTCAAATCTACCACCCCATCCCCTCAACGTAGACCTTTTTTGGCCTGGCAGTAAATCCCTGCATTTCCAAATCTTTTCCCCGCATTCCTGAACGCCATCTTCCCCTCTCTTGTTCACAGCATCGTTATTAACTGTTTGTCTTCCATGGTGTATTCCACACTACGCAGTATTTTGTTTATCGTTTTTCCACACAACCATGGATGGTTCTCTTCTCACATATTTACCTTTTTGCCTGTGGATGTTTTATGTTAAGAGGAAAGCCAAGAATAACGGCCTGGAACTGTGTTGTGTAGAAAGCCTTGCGCCTCTCCCCCCTGGATCTTGCCTGGGCACAGACATGCTATGGGTGTCCATGTTTAGAAACTTTACTGGGTGATCTGCCCTTTCATCCCACTTCCAGGTCAGGCACTGCTTGTCTCAGAGTTTGTGGTTTTATTCACTTTAATTCTCCATTTTTCAATAACTATAAATGTATTTAATCAAAGGATCTTAAAAGACTGTATAAAACATTTACAAGGAACAGGTGAATTTCAGAAAAAATTAAAAATTCCATCATTACATCCATCTGTTAACATTTTTATTTCCTTTTTTTATTCCATGAGCTTGTGTAGAAACAGTCACCAACACCAGGGCTTAGATTTGCAACACCTAGAAGTGTGTTCAGTATAATCATTTTCCAAAGTTACTTCCCATGGAAATAATAATTAACATTTACCTTCTGAAAGGAATAGATATTTGCAGTTATCTTTGTTGAACCAGAAAAATGTCTTACTTTTCTCCCATCCTTTACACACAAACACTGAATTTGAGTGATTTTACTGGATTGCTGCTCAAGCTCTGGGAGTGACGCAGTTGGAGGATCGTAAAGTTCTGGGTTTCATCCCTGGTCCAGGCACGTTCAGGAGGCAGTTGATTAATGTTTCTCTCTCACATCGATTTCTTTCTCTCTTCCCCCACCCCCCTAAAATCAATAAACATATCCTTAGGTGAGGATTAAAAAGGGAAAAAAATCGGGATCCAGAGCAACTGGGTGGAAGCAGAAGCCTCAGATCCGTGTCTCTAAGCTAAGGCCTCCTTGAACCTGCAAAAGGAAGCACTTGAAGGCCCAGTTGGTCCTCCCTGGGGAGCCTCCCCCTGCAAGTGCCCTGCCTGCTCACCCCACCAGGGAGGGAGCCTGCCCACTGAGAGGCGCTGCAGCCCTGGGAAGCTTGGGGGGGGGGGGGTGATGTCCTTTCTTAGGTTGTAACTGTGATTTCCTTGGACCTGTGTCTAGATGTAGGCTTGAGCAGTGTAGGTGCACTCAGTAATTTGTGTACATTGAGAAAGTCTGTGAAGGTCAGTTCTGTCTTCTAGACAAAGGGTTTATGAATTGGGGAGTTTTGGGCGGTAGAGGGTGAGAACCTTAAATTGACTCTGGCTACGAGTTTCCTCCCTTGTGAGAATTAAAGCCTCAGAGAGGAAGTCTTTCTGTTACCTCAGGAGATGGGCATGTGGGGCTCCCAGAGATCTTTTCTGTGGGCACTCCATCAGCGGGGAGTGGCCCACTTTTTAATAGTTGTATCCCAACAAGGGGTGTCTGGACTGCAAGCTTGAGAATGTGGGTTTTCTTCCGAACTATGAGGAGGCAGGCAGCTTATCTCACCTGATTTGAAGATTTGTGTTTCTTTCTTTGGATACTAATAATATTGCATATTGAAAGTCTGAACTCTAGTGTTCCTTGGCAGTTTGTGGTAATTTCTGGGTGAGTGTGTAAGGTTTTTAGTTCTTGGGCTTTGGAAATATAAGTTGATTGAAAGATACATGGGAATAAGGCAAGGAATTCTGGAACCAAATAGAATATTTATTCCTTTTAGGCAAGAGATCAAGATATGAGATGGGCGTATTTGAGCTCACAAGTAGATTTTACATTTTAGATCAGTTTTTGTATGTTCATGTCCCTAAAGAGCTTTGAAAATTTAAATGCTATAATATTGCTTAAGCATAAGGGAAAAAAAGTCCTATTTTAATTAATAGGAAAACTACTCAAAATGTAACATAAACCTTTGAAAAATCCGATGCAGCTAATGGATTAAGCCCAAATAAAGCTATAATAGGCTTTTATTCCTGAAATAACCCCCAGTGTGATATATAAGAAGTTATAATGCCTCTTGTTATTTTGGTTAGGAGATTTGAGATTTTATATTTTTTTATGGTTTAAACCTTTATAAGCATTAGTGTTTAAAGGATTGAATCCTAGGATGGTTTCCTATGTTGAAAAAAGTGAATAAATTTAAAATTAAATTTTAAAAAGCAAAAATAATTTATAGAAAAATACAGTTTATATAAATTACTCAGCATTATTTTTAAAAATAATGCATGTGACAGCTAGAAAAGCCTGTAAGATACGGTTTAAAGTTGACTCACCACCAGAACATCCTTGCCCCCCGCCAGGGCTCTTGCTTCAGCTACCACCAGCAACCAGCATTGAATTTCCTGAATATCCAGTTTGCGTTTCTTTGGAATGAGCAGTTGGGCTCCTCACTGCTCGAGGCTGAAGCCTCCCCACTCCCTCTGCCCCTTGGGCTCCCACCTGGACAAACCGATGAAAAAGCCTGAGTGGTCTCACCTCTAGAAATGGCAGAAATTCAAATCACACAGGCCCCTGCCCTTGGACTAGGATCCTTGCCCCACCCCCAACGACCACCCAGGCCAGGCTCCTTTCCTTGCTTTCTGGAGCTGTCTCAGCTACTCAAGAGGCCACCCTACCCTCCTGAGACCTCAGTTATGTGATCATAGGGCTCTTCCTACCACCCAGGGGATTATGTGCACACACGCCAATGTTATCAGTCTCAAGGGAACCATCCTTCTGCAGGCGACTGTAACAGTTGGCACCATGAGCAGCATGTCCGGACAAGACCACGCCGTGGGTCTGTCCGCTCTTGCTCTGACCAGCTCTGCTGCCTGATAGCGCCCCTCATTGTGAGCAGGTGGGCAGCTAGTGCTGTGAGTGTGCTGCCCGGTGGGGCACTGCTGAGCCTACCAAGCTTTAGTTCCATGTTCAGGTGACCAGAATGGGCAGTTTCAAGAATCCCAAAGCACTTGGAAGCAGGCGCATGGGATCAGAGCCTTCCTTAAATTAACCCTGTGTCTCTGTCTTTGTTGGGATTTATCTGTTAGAGCAAAGATGTGATAAGGCTCGGTTGGCCTCAGTGTAGAGGACACGGGTGGGAGAGGGGGATCTGTACCCTGTGCAAGAGGCGGACTCAAGGGAAGAGAGGGGGATAGGCAGCCAGCAGGTGGTAGGTGGATCCACACTCCTTTATTTCCACACGTCTAATTCCAGGGGGATTCCACTAAATGTAAGCAAGAGCGCCGTGATAATGTTAGGGGAGTTACCGAATGTAATACAGAATGCAAATAGGGCTGTTTTACCGTAACTGTGGTCTTACCTAATTTCTCTATGGCCATAGTGTCATTTCCTTAAAAGTATACCACAACCAGCGGGGAAGGTTTAAATCGGTGAGTTATACTCCTAAGTTAAATTGTAATTTAGTCTTTGGCACTTTGAAAATATATTAACAAAATGAGATTCCCCAGTCTGTAATCCAGTTAAGTTCATATGGCCTCATTAAACAGGGTGTTGAAGGGTTGAAAACCACTGTACACTTATTTAGTGTAGAAGTCATTATCCCCTCTGTTTCACCTTTGAATAGCTGATTTTGTTGTTTTGTTGTTGTTGTTTTTTAAGATAGATGGTTTGAATTTAACTTGATTGAATAAATTTCTAAATGAGCTTAACATGCTTGAAGATCCTGTGTTGGCTGGTGGAAGAGCAGTCATTAATTGCATTGATTATAACTGGATAACTTAGTAACTTTCTACTAAAACCATAAATAATTATCTGATTTGACTATAGTTGGCAAAGGTGAATTTTTAGTTGGTCTATTCGTCAAGAAAGAATGACACCTCACAATGGATTACTGCAACCGGGAGGCTGTGGTCAAACCAAGTAAGCCCCTCCCTAGTCTCAGCCCCCAACATTATGGAAATTTCTGCCTCCATCCACTCAGCAACTGGTGATTAACGGAATATCCTGCCATCACAGATTTGACTGTGTTTATTTTGCTTGGAATCTATGACAGCAGCCTCTTAGCTGTCAGTGTCCTTCACCTCTGAAGGGACATGACACACCTTTACCTGGTCACCTTCAGGGACGTCAGCACCACTGCCCGCACACGCGGTGTCCGCAGGCTGGATGTGAGCTGTCCCCACCCTGCTCCAGGAGCACGGGTGTGACATTGCACTAATGACATCCTCCTCTGAGGGTATTCAGGACATAAAAATACTGACAAAAAGAGCTCAAAGAAAGGGGAGAGGCCACTGCTACATAAATGAGGTGAGGCCCTACTGCCTTGCTTAAATTCTTAAAAAGCATTTTGGGATCTGGGTCCTGTTCCCTGCTTGACATGGTGAAGAGGTAGCTATTGTCCCTCTTAGCGCCTGCTCTAGGGCAACGTAGCCCTTGTTTACACATTTCACTTAAGTCCATTTATGTTGTTTCTTGCAAACTGGCCCACCTTGAATCGTAGGTACTCCTACAGCAAAACCAAAAGGCTCCGGACTTGGTCAAATTGCCATACCACAGGCACTCCCATAGTGCGATCAGACACTTGTTTCACA